TGGAATTACTAAGAAGGTAGCAGATGCGTTTGAAGCTTACATTGGAGCATATTACTTATCTGAAGGAGAAGAAGCGACAACGACTTATTTAGAACAGTTAATGAATCCACTATTTGCACTTATATTAACAAGTATGAATGGTAATCGTAATGTTAAAAAAATGATGAAAGTTATAGCAAATTATTTCAACATGGGATTTTTATTAACTGTGCCAAAATTAAAGTAAATAACTTGACTATATAATATATTAATCTTAATGTAAAGATGTCGGAGTATGTATATATCGTTGGGATTTATTTCTTTCATTAATAAATGATAATGGATGACTTAATTGAAGATCATCCTTTTCTTTTCCTCATCAGTCGTTCAATCGTCCTCTTCAAGTTGAAAATTTCAACATAGGATTCATAATGCTACATTAAGAAATTACGAACTACTTCAACTTTGAAAGGTATAGACGCGTATTATTCTTGATTTCTTTGATATGTGATCGATCATATTTCAAATAACGCGGGTAATACCTTTCCTTCCCTTGGTAGATTCCAAAGCAATCCTTAGTCTGATGATTAAGAAATTTTCGAGGATTTACCTTTGAAGCTTCGTTACATTCCTTTCTCATATCATAAATGCTCGCCATTTTTACGAAGTTAATCAGAATAATAATGATGAATTCATCAGTAATACGAAGCGTTTCTTCGGGATACAGGAGCTCCAAAGTTAATTTCTTGGACATTTTGTATAACTAGAAAGACAGGAGAAGGGAATCAAGTTCATCATCTATTACACGTTGTCATGGATTCCATTAGGATATCGAGATCCAATATTTTCAGGATGGTTAAAATTATGACGGTTCATCCGGAATTTTTCTCCTATGTTCATCCAACGTTATAATGTCAATAGTTGCTCACTTGGCAAAAAATAATGATCGGGTAAAGAAAAATCTATTCTCTCTTAGATACCCCATTCATATGGGTAACTATTAATATTATGTGTTTTGCATGTAGCTCCTCTTAGACTGTTAAAATATTTAAAATTCTGTCCTCCTTCTACATCATCTACAAAAGACGAAATATCCTTTAAGGATGCTGTACCAAACACGTGTCCGATATGAACCGTGTTATATTCCTCAGATAAGGCTCATGTGTTATTATCATTAAATACCTAAGCACTGCTTTTATATAGATGGGGTCCATAAATATTTGACGAGTTTGACGTCACGTGAATGATCGTTAAATGAAAGCTGCGCCACCTAAAAATGATTTTCGACCCATTAAACTAAATTGGTCTTTTATGTTGTGACACTTGATTAGTAATTATAAAATATTTAAACCTATTAAGAAAGAATTGATTTTTTTTTTCGTTTCCCTCAAATCGAGAGAGGTAAAAAATCCGAACTTTTCCATATCTGAAGCTAATTCAGAAATTGATCGTCATCGAAAATATTTGTCACACAGTAAAAAAAAAAAAAATGACCGAAACGCGGAACAATTCTAGCAATTCGATTGTTGCTAAATTTACCGATGATGAAAAGAAAGCGGTTCAAGACCTTAAGGAGCTTCTTCCAGAAATTTTAAAAGGTGCCAATGCACCGGAGAATTATAGTCTTTGGGACATTGCTTTGGACAAAGATTCTAAAGACGAAAGACTTGACGTTATCCTTATTAAATTTTTAAGAGCCAGGTGAAGATTTAAACAAAATCAACAATTTTTTTTTTTAAAAAAAAAAAAATAAATAAAATTATTCATAATCACATTCCCCTATCCCCTAATTTTCTTAGGTCACTTGATGTAAGTCAAGCAAAAGTAATGATGACAAAAGCTATCGAATGGAGAATTAGTTTTAAAACCGATGAATTACTCTCGGAAACTTTCCCTAGTTCAACATTCGCAAAAGTTGGGTTTATTCATAAACATGATAAAGAATTTCGACCCGTTACTTATAACCTTTACGGAGGGATCAATAATCAAGAAGTTTTTGGAAATTTGGATCAATTTATCAGATGGCGTGTACAATTAATGGAAAAAGCGGTTAAATTGTTGGATTTTACTAATGTTGATCAAATGATTCAAGTACATGATTACAATTTGGTTACTATTTCAAGTTATGATAAAACCGTCAAACAAGCTAGTAAACTTATCACTGAACTTATGCAAGAAAATTACCCCGAATTTTTGGTAAACCAAAAAAAAAAAAGAAAAAATTTTTTTTTTTAAATGATTAAATTTGACCTGACTTAATTAATAATATGTATATTTTTTTTTTTTGTTTCTCTCATGGTAGGCCATGAAACTCTTCGTTAATATACCTTGGTGGGGTGATTGGATATTTAAATTTATTTCAATGTTTCTAGCTGAAGAAACAAAGAAGAAATTTGTCTTAACCTCTGCGGATCGTGTAAAAGAAATTATGTTGGATTTAATTGATGAAGAAAATCTACCCACTTTCTATGGTGGTAAAAGCGTTGTTCGAGGATTTGAAAATGATACTAACTAAACTTTATTTATAAAAGATTAATTAATTTTTTTTATTTTACACATTATTGTTTAATGAATATTACAAGCAGGAAAAAAAAAAAAAAAAAGTCGAATAAAATTTCATTTTTTAACGATATCTTCATTTTCGTAAAAAATCAAATAAAAAAAAAAAATCTCGCACAATTTATATATATATATATTTTTTGATTTTTTGATTTTTTTTTTTTTTTTTTTTCCTCCCGGTATACTCAAGATTCAACGTCTGAAAAAAATGAATTTATCTCATTCAATTCAATAACTGCTACTGCGGTGGCTTTAAAAATAAAAGGAATTTAGAGTTAATCAAAACAATTAAGAAAGCTTCGATATAAATTAAATACAAACCTGCTTCTTGGTCCGGATTCATTTCTCTATTATTTTGAATTCAAATAAAATATTTAATAAAAAAATTTCACGTGAAAAAAAAATGCGAGTATATATCAATTTACATTACTTACGCTCGTACAATTGCAATTAAAATCGCGAAAAGACATATCGAAGGTGCAAAATTTGACATGGCGGTATACAACAAACCAATCCAAAGAGCACTTAATAACTTTTCGTAGTAAACGGCAAGGGGGATCAAACACGCGCTGAACCTACAGTGAGAATCACGTGAGTGCTTGTCATTCATAAATTTCATAACTGTTATTGGTTAGGTTCATTACCATAACATTATAATAAAGATGCCGCAATTAAATAGACGTATCTAAAACAATAACAAAAAAAAAAAAATACAATAAAATAATATAACATAAAATAAAATGTGAGTTCAATTCAAAAAAAAAAAATAATCTACCTTATTAATATATGCTTTGAAGGTGATGTTTGCTTTTTCCAACCTTCTTTTTATTCTATCAGGAATATTACTACTACCGGCGTCTTGAATTCCTGTTAACATAAAACTTTCTTCTGTCATTCTTAATAAATTCCTTCCATAAAACGTCAAGATGAAAATAATAAAAGTACAATGAAACCAAAAAGTGCCATAAAGACAACCATTCGCATATAAAAATGCTTTGTTCCTTCTCATAACGGGACCATTTTCTTCATGTAAAAGATTTCGATTCAATCCCATCATGATAGAAGAGGTCGTAGTTAAAGAAAAGAGTAAAAATGTCAAAGCCCAAAAGGCGATGGTCACCTGATAACCTTGTGGAATCCACATGGTTTTTGATCGACTTTCATCATGATTACTTTCATTTATGACATTTTCAAAGGTTCGATGCGTGGAAGTTGTTGTTGTAAATTGTTCAAATTTCATTCGCGTCATGGTTTGAAACATTCCCGCTATAAAACTATAAATTCCTATGAACCCCGGTGACCAACTAAATGCAAAGATGATTTCGCGAATTATCGGATATTCAAATAGGAAATTGAAAAATATAACGACACAACAGATTACGCGTGCTGGATATGCATATATATGTATATGTATTTAGGGTGAATTTATAATTAAAATTTTTAAACCATTAAAACTTGCCAAAAATCAATGTTGAAATATCACGTAAAGTTTTCGCCTCTTACTCAAATTATTTATTCCACACCATAATAGAAACCCTTCCAAAGGAGTGAATAATTTACCAGTGAATAATCTTGAATCTTCCCTGTATTTTAGTCTCCAATAAAGTAAAGCAAAAGAAAATATACAAATGATAGACCACAATGCTATTGAAATTATGTACAATATATTATATTCTTTTGACCCTTCGCAGTTGACTATACTATAAGTGAACCTTCGAAAATTGAAAATAATTTAACATCGATTCTTGCATGAAAATTGAAGTGAAGGAAAAAAAAAAAAAGAACAAATCAAAACACAAAACTCACTCGCAAATGGTTGAATTCGACATAATTAACGACAATTCAACGTATCCTTATGTATTTATTCAAATATAAATAAAAAAAAAAAAAATAGAATTTATTCCATGAGATGAAATAAAAATGAATGGAAGGAATGTATAAAGTTAAAACAAAATATCAATGAATGAATTCGGTAAAAAAAAAAAAAAAGAGGAAACTAAGTAATGTGGAAGAAAGGGAAAGTGAAAACTTTCAATTCTAATAATTTCACTTTTTTTATGTTCATCAAGAAACCAAATTTAGATAATCACATGTTGATTTAATATAATTTATATACTGTTTCTGTAATTAAAGAGCATTATTAAGGAACAATGGTCAATGGTTGGTTATTCTGACGTTAATCTTTATTTTATTATTGTATCACATCACAAATGTTGCAAATAACGCCATCATATAACTTTGCTTCTGGAGCAAGGATTTATTGACAGCACAAGATAAATAATTTTTAAAAGGAGCTAATTTCCGTAATGTCCGTGAATGCCCAAGTGTAAATTTTTAAAGTTTTGCTTAATTTTCCGTAATGGAAATCCAATCAACAAAAAGTGTTGCGCAGGTTTATCAATGCTACCAATTAACATTGATTCTACTCGTATACCATTAATTAATGATTTTTATTATTACATAATACATCGTTTTCTTAATAATTTAGATGAAGGAATTAGTAATCGCAAATTCCAATATATTCTAGAACAAAGGAATCGGTAATCGCAATTTCCATAAAAAAAGAAATAAATAAATAAATCGGTTCGAAGAAATTTGATCACTTAGAACACCAGAATTACTTCTTCCAATGGCATCCGCAGCAATTCAATTAAAACAAAAAGTTCTTTCGTTTTGGTTTAAAGGTTTGTATTTTATAGGAAGAACGAAATAATCAAATCTTTATTTTCTATAAATAATTATTCCTTTTTTTTATGTGATATTAGGTTTCAAAAATGGAGAGATACTTCCGCTTTCTTTAATACAATTTTGGTTCTCCGGTGGAGCAACAGTAGATACCGAATGCAGAAAGCATTTTAGCAAAGATTTGGAAGATATTTTTGAGAAAAGAATGTATATTGATGATTTGAAAAAAACTCCAGAGGTAGCTTCATTCATATATTTCAATTAGTTAATTTCATATTAATGATAATGTTTAAATTTATTTTTTTTTTGCATTCTTAAAGGGAACCCTAAATTTAGCGATCTTACTCGATCAACTTCCTCGTAATATATTTCGTGGAACTGCAAGACCGTTTGTCGATTTTGACCCACTCGCATCGGAAATTGCCAAATATTGCATTCATCGTAAATGGGATGAACAATTGGACCCGATTCAAAGAGAATTCATTTATTTGGTATTATAATAAAATCTTTAATGCTATGTTAATATTTCCGCAGAAAATTACAGAACAAAGTTCAATTTTCCAGCCACTAGAACATTCCGAGAAAATGGAAGATCAGGATCTCAGTTTACAGAAACATAAGTGGCAAGTTGATACCACCCCTGAGGTATTTAAGATATATTGATAATAGCGATTGGTAAGTTCAACCAAAATGTCTATAATTAATTGTTGTTCCTTTTGTAACTTTAATTTAGATTTATTCGGAGACGTTGAAAAGTTTCCTTGCTTACGCCGAATCCCATAGAAACATAATTAAACGATTTGGTAGATTTCCTCATAGGAATAAAATCTTGGGGAGAAAACCTACAAAAGAAGAGATAGATTTTCTTGAACAAGGTGGCGAAACATTTGATTCAACAATTATTTAATTGAATTACAAAGAACAGTTTAATAAACAGGGATAATATTACATTTAAGACATAATTCTCAAAACTTGATTAATCACTCGTGGTTCAGACTTTTGAAGATTCTTATGTTCCAACCATAAGGATCTTTCGGTTTGCGATTGACTTATTTTAGATCCGAATAACAGAGCTTGCTCTTCTGCGACGCGTTCCGCAACCTCTTCTCTTGCTCGAATTTTATAAAATTCGTTACAGGCTTCGACATATGCCTGATGTTTTCCAAATTTTTGATCTTTCATTAAATACGTTTGGTATCTAATCACACTAAAAAAAAGAAAATAGAATAAAACTTCAATTTGTTAATTTCTGGTAACAAATCAATTAAAAGTAATTTAAATAAAATTTACAAAAGGTTTAAATTAATTTACTCTTCACCAGTAACCCGACAAGGGAATTTCAAATTACATAATAATTCTCCGTGATCTTCCACAATTCCTTCATTTTTCTCCATCAGGATTTGTGGTTTCAACAGTTCGTATGGATGTTCACGATAAAATTCTCTACGCAAACTATCTTCAATGTAACGAATTATTTGCGGCCGTGGAATCTTGGTTTTCAAGTGTTTTGGGGAAGTTGCTTTTTTGTTACGCAATTTCTTTCCTGACACATCTTTTTCACAAAACTGTAAAGGACTACGTAATAAGCTCTGACCAGGTGGAAATTTGTTCATGGCTGAATACCATGCTGGAAGCGTTTTTATGATTCCTCCGGTTAATAACTGCGAAACATGTTTATGAAGTTGAGTTGGTGAGGCACGATGCATATTTAATTTTCTTAAAAGATTTTTATATAAAAGGAGAAAGTAAGATCGAGGGTGCCGCCAAAAAAAGATTGGATCATGTACATTTTTGGATAATCAATTTAAATGACGCTTTACGTCAATTTTACAACCCTACGTGCGTCATCATAATATAAAGTTCAAGAAATTGTCACACTTAAAATTCGATAAGGAGCAATTATAAATTGCCTTTCTTTCGCTAAATAATAATCTTCTTTTGCAATTTTAAATAAAAAAAAAAAGGTGTTGGATATTAATTACACCGATTTTAAGGTTACCAAGCAAAGAATTAGACTTGCTAGAAGGTTATGACAAATCGTCAAACTTCTGTAAAAATGGAGGATCAATCGAAACTTTTAGAAGAAGCTTCGAACGTTGTTAAAGTTCAAGCATTTCAAATGAAAAAATGCTTGGTAAATTGTTTATTATTATACTCGGCGTAAAAAGAAATAATTTGTTTTCTCACTGACTTTCTATGTTTTCTCATCGATAGGATAATAGCAAACTCATGGACGGTTTAAAACATTGCTCAACGATGTTGGCTGAGCTTCGTACATCTGCTTTAACTCCAAAAAACTATTATGAACTCTGTATCTTTTTTATTACCCAAAATAACGAAAATTTATGCGATTGACTGATTTTATTGTCAAAATTTTTATAAATTTAATTTTCCTGAACGAAATGTTTATAAAGATATGGCAATTTTTGACGCTCTCCGGCACCTAACAACTTATCTCAATGACGCACATAATTCTGGAAAGCATCACCTTGCTGATCTTTATGAGTTGGTTCAATACGCGGGAAATATCATTCCACGTTTATATCTCATGATTACTGTCGGTAGTGTATATATGTCACAAAAGGATGCTCCCGTGAAAGAAATCATGAAGGATATGATGGAGATGTCTCGCGGTGTACAACACCCAACGCGCGGGTTATTCTTGAGACATTATTTGAGTGGAATGACCAGGGATTCATTACCAATTGGAATTGATAATGGGTAACAGAAAAAAAAAACCTATCGAGTAATATTATTATGTCATAAGTAATTCTGATTTGTTATTATAATTATCGTCATTTAGCCCTCAAGGAAACCTTCAAGATTCAATTTCTTTTATTATCACTAATTTTATTGAGATGAACAAGCTTTGGGTACGCTTGCAACATCAAGGTCACTCACGGGACCGAGAAAAACGTGAGATGGAACGAAAAGAACTTAGAATTTTGGTTGGAACAAATTTAGTTCGATTAAGTCAGTTGGAAGGCGTTGATTTGCTGCTATACGAGAAGGTATTCTTAGATCATGTGATTTTATTGTAAATTCATTAATAGTAATGCTAAGCTATCGAAATAGACTATACTGCCGGCTATTTTAGAACAAGTTATTAATTGTAAAGACGTTATCGCGCAAGAGTATTTAATGGAAGTGATCATTCAGGTATGCACGTTTGAAATATTATGATTCGTATTTATATATATTATTATATGTCGTCTTTAATTTTTTTTTCACCCTTTGATTAGGTGTTCCATGATGATTTCCATCTTCGTACACTTGGACCATATTTGTCAGCCACAGCACAGCTTCATCCAAAAGTTAATGTTAAGCAAGTCGTAATTGCACTTATAGATCGTCTAGCTGCATATGCTGCTCGTGAAGCCGATTCTGAACCACCTGAAGTAATTAAGCGTCAGGAGGAAGAAGCCGCTACAAGGCTTGCGGAAAAATTGAAAAGACAAAATATTGGAGGGTATCATGATATAGATGATGAGTCACAATCAAATGAATCTTTTTCACATGAAGAGACGAGGGAAGATACTGAAGAAACATATGGGAATGAAGATTATGACCAGGCATCTGAGACCCAGCCAGATAAGATCAAACAACAGGATAGAATTGATGAACCCAAGAAATTCCGTGGTATCCCTGAGGATGTTAAACTCTTTGAAGTTTTTTGGGGACAAATTGTTGATTTGGTTAAGGTTCGTAAGGATTGTAATCAAATTATTTGTACATTTTAATAAGTTGTACAATTTTTCCCTACTATCATGTTTTTCTTCTAATTTTCAGGCTCGTCCGGACTTATCGATTCAAGATATCACTGCCTTGTTGGTATCTTTAGTTAATTTATCATTGAGTTGCTACCCTGACAAGATTGAATATGTTGACCAAGTCATTGAATTCGCCAAGCAGAAAGTTTTAGACTTCCACGATAGGTATGCCTTGCGCTTGATATTTGAAATTTTATTTATTTCATTACACTAAAAGCTAATCAATAATTTTTTTTTAATATTCATAATCAAGTCCCGATCTTCATAGTTCTATCACAGCTTCAAATTTACTTAACCTTCTATTAGCTCCAATAAAATCATACACCACATCTCTTACTCTACTTGCTTTACCTAATTACGCTGCTCTTCTGGCAGTTCAGCCTTTCCAAACACGTCGTTCGGTTGCTCAAGCAATTGTCGCTTCTATTCTAAAAAATGAGACCATTATTGAAACGCCTGAAGAAGTTAGTGGAATTTTAGACCTTTGTAACGTTCTCATTCGAGACCAAAAGGACGCAACACTTTCAAGTCCATTCAGTGGTCTTACAAGTGGAAGAAGTACAAGGTCAAATGGTGTTCCACCAATTATGGATCCTGAAGAATTTGCAGAGGAACAAGGATGGCTTGCAAGAATTATTCACTTATTCAAGAGTAGTGATCCTGATAACCAATTTTTGGTATAAGATTAAACATTAAGATTTATCTTTTTCGGTTATTGAACAATTGATTTACTTATTATTAAATTTTGTCAGCTCCTTTCAACTGCTCGTAAACAATTCAACGAAGGTGGCGAAAGAATACGATACACATTTCCTCCCCTTATTGTATCTGCAGTGAAGTTGGCAAGGAGGTACCGGAATCTTGAAGATCAAGCAAGTATTAGTTATAACGCTAACGATTCCTTCACAATGTAAAATATTTTTATTAATCATTTTTTACTTCACAAATCTAGGAAGATGGATGGGATAAGAAAACCTCAACTCTTTTCAAATTTATTCATCAAGTTATATCAATTCTGCATATGAAAGTTGAATGTTCAGATATATGCTTACGATTGTTTCTCCTAGCGGGACAAAGTGCAGACGAGTGTGGTTTCGAAGAAATTTGCTACGAATTTTTCGTACAAGTAGGCATCAAAGTTAATACATATAATTTTTGCACTAACATTATTTTACTAAATGATACTTTATTTTGAAGGCATTCACCATTTATGAAGAATTCATTTCTGAGTCACGTGCCCAGTTCCAAGCCATCACACTTATTATTGGTACTTTACATACCACTCGTGTATTTGGTAAAGAGAATTACGATACTCTGATTACCAAATGTGCTTTGCATGGTAGTAAATTGTTGAAAAAACCTGATCAATGTCGAGCAGTGTATCTATCTAGTCATTTATGGTGGGCCACTGAGATGGAAGGGAGAAGAATTAAACCGGCGGAGGTATTATTTAAGACTTACGTTTATTATAAAGATATATACAATGCTTAATTATTTTCCTTTTTATTTACTAGGAATTATTTCGAGACGGTAAGAGGGTTCTTGAATGCTTACAGAAAGCACTCAAAATCGCAGATTCTTGTATGGACTCGGTTACGAATGTAGAATTGTTCGTGGAAATTTTGAATAGATATATATATTACTTTGAAAGAAAGAACGAAGCCGTAAGCATTTTTGTTCATAAAGAATTTTTTTTTTTTTTTTTTTTTATAATGACACTTTTTCTCTCTTGTAGGTTAATGTGAAATATCTTAACGGGTTGATAGATTTAATCAATACAAATCTAACAAACATGGATAACCCAGATCAACACCCCCCAACATCTGCCTCTTCAGCACTTATTGAACCGGAAGGCAATGTTTCCGAATTTGTTGTTAGGCATTTCAAATCTACGTTGTTACATCTTAATACACGCAAAGATGCTGTACTCGCAGCTAAAGTTCAAGGAGACATGTATCAACAAGATTATGACGAAATTGATACTAGTATTACGTTTGGAAGATAATAAAGTTAAGCAAAAACAATTTTATTTCGAAGGAACAATTTTGGAGCAATAATTTAAATTTATATGTTAATTGAAAGGATTAATTAATATACACGTGTAAATATATATATATCTGGTATAATAATTTGTAGA